AGAAAAGGAAGCTCTGTGGAGATCTCATCACTCTCTACAACTACCTGAAAGGAGGTTGCAGTGAGGTGTGGGTCTATCTCTTCTCCCAAGTAACAATAGGACAAGAAGAAACAGTCTCAAGTTGCACCAAGGGAGGTTTAGATTGGATAATAGGAAACATTTCTTCAAAGAGGCTGTCAAGCATTGGAACAAGCTTCCCAGGGAAGTGGTAGAGTCACCATCTCTGGAGGTATTTAAATACCTGCAGATGAGGTGCTTACGAACATGGTTTAGTGGTGGACCTGATACTGCTGGGTAATTGTTGGACTCAATGATCTTTAAGGTCTTTTCCAACCTAAATGATTCTATGATTCTATGATACAGGAGAATCTTCAATTTGAGGACCAATAATCCCAAAGTTAGCATAAACAATGACTAAACTACATTTACGTGTACCTCTGGAACTAGGGAAGGCACTGCAGACCTTTACTGTCAAGTTTTTGGAGTTCTAGACAATATGTAGATAGAAATGTTCTTTTCAAGAGATGAAGATGTGGCTACAAAGCACAGTGGTGAAAGAAGTAGAGATCTGCTAATGTATTAAGTAGGAGAGATGCCAGAGTTAGGGGATTGCTGTACCAGAAACCAATCCTAACCACAGTTTTGGTAAGGAAGAAACACATCTCTAAAACAATAAGAACACCATTTCAGCAGAATTCCCATTTTCCTATTTTATAGCTCCTTTAAAAGTAAGTAGCATAAGCAAATATACACCCACTTTGGTTTTTTGTGGTGAAGATTGATGAAAGAAGAGAAAGGCAAAAAGGCAAACCAGTAATAACAGTGTTGGGGCTTGATTTCTTATATTGAACTCTGCACTACAAAGGCTCCAAGAGACTGAAACTGAAGGCAACAGTATCCAGAGCCAAGACAATCAAACTTCTGAACAACACAAGTGTGTCATTGCTTTAAAAACTGCCAGGAAGAGAAAGCTACAGGCTGCTGTGCTTTAGGAAGACAACATTCAAATTCAGGAACAGAGAGGAACTGGTGACTGTTCAGTCAAGACCAGGTTCGACACAGGCACGCTGCAATGAAAGGCCAGAATTCATTACACACAGATGAAACATTTTTCCATAACAAAGAAACATATAGCTAAAAATAGGAAGGAGGAAATATATAAGGCAGACACTTTGAGTAACAGAAACTCCCAGGTTTTGATTTACATGCTATACACTATTAATAATATTTTGGTTAACACACTTTTCCACGTACTCCTGCAAAAAGAGTTATTGTATACATTGTCTCAATCTTTACAATGACCATGTCTTCCCAGTTTTAGGCTTTACAGTAAGATAAGCATATACAGGCACTTGGAGCTTTGAAAGTAATCATGCTGTAGATAATGTAGCCTGTTAGCTATTAAGAAGTTAGATGAAGCTCTGGCAACAGGAAATAGAAATGAAAACATGAAAAATGAGATAGGATAGAAGTAGCTTATGAGCTGGGACCTTTTAGAAGCACTAATACTAAAATAAGTTCCACCACAATTGAAAATGAACTAGCTCTGCTTGACTTCCCTAGGGTGAAATAACTTTATATTAATAACAAGAAAAAAAAAAAGGGGGACTTCCCCCTTACAATGATAGTTTCCTTTCCATAATTTTGGTTCATAGACGGGTTGCCATCTGCAGGTGCTTCAAGACTTCCATTAAGAATATAACTCCTGGAAAACTGGCAAGTTAACTAACCTTTTGTCTCAGAACTACCTCTGTGATATCAGTAATCTCAGCATACTCACTTTATCTGTCATTTAGAACTCCTAAGTGATAAAGGTTTCATTCAATCAGAAATATAATTGATAATAATTTTCTGTTGTACTTCTTACACATGCTGAATATATTTTTTATTTGCTATAACTCGTTATAGGTGCACTGCTAAAAGACTGGAGATAATGTCTGTAAATTGTATCAAGAAAAAATTGGTCTGGACAGAACGAAAAATTTATTCCCTCAGGGTGGTACAGAAAAAAAAATCTCTGAGAGGGTGCCCAGAGAAGCTGTGTGCTTTCCGTCCTTAGAGATTTCAAAGCTCATGAGCAATTTTATCTGTCTTTCAAGTCACAGAATCACAGAATCACAGAATGTTAGGGGTTGGAAGGGACGTCTGAAGATCATCTAGTCCAACCTTCATCCCAGCATACCTAACCACTACACCATAGCCTCAAGTGCTAGATCTACTTTTTTTTTAAACACCTCCAGGGTTGGTGACTCCACCACCTCCCTGGGCAGCCTGTTCCAGTGCCTCACCACTCGTTCAGTAAAGAACTTCCCCCGAATATCCAATCAGCTCCCTCAGCCGCTCTTCATAGGGCATGTTTTCCAGACCTCTCACAAGTCAGCCCTGCTTTGAGCAGAAGATATGTCTAAGGACAACCTATTAATTCTAGATCATATTGTTAAAACTTCGATTAACTTACTACAAAAAAATAATAATAATCATAAAACCTGTTTTTCTTTATGCAGGTTCGTAAAGGTCTAGGGCGTGTCCTCCCTGTCTCTGGATCAACAGTAGTATTATCTCTTAGGAAACTATCAAATACACTAACCGTAAAATTGCCAAAATCTGGCTTTGAAGTCATCTTCATTTTAGAAAAGAACATCATAAAAATAGAAAAAAATAACTGAACCACAGACATTTTTATAGCACATTTTTATATTACAAGGATCAAGAGGAAATACTGCTAAGTGCATTCCTACAAGAAAGTTACACTGAAGAAACTCCTCTCTAGTAGAAATCAATACTTAAATTAGAATAAAAACAAAAAATTATAACAGACAAACCTCTAAAGCCCTACATGTCCTAGAGCTGAAACTTTTATTCTTTACTTGTTAATATAACACTCGTGCCTTCTAAGTCTAAGAGTGCCTGAAAGAAGAGGTAAACTGCTTTCAGTAGCTATAGCCTAAGATATCTGTTAGTAAATAATTCATAATTTCCCTCTCAAAAATGTTTATCATTCTCATTATCTAACTGAAAATAGACATATACAAAGGGCAAAAACTGAATTCATATGTCTATCTTTAGATATTTGTGTGATTTCATAAAGAATGCACTGCATTAACCGAGTTAGATGACCTTTAAAGGTCCCTTCCAGCCCAACACATTCAATGATTCTGTGATTCTATTATTTAAGCAACATAGTTCAACAGAGTTAATGTATATGAAAACATCAGTCAGAACAGGCTTTAAGTATAAGGCAAAATAAATGATGCTTCTTCTGTCCATTAAAGCCCAAATAGAAACTTGATAAGTTGCACGGTGCTCCCACAACCAGAAAAAAAAGGAGCATAATCTTATCAAAGAAGGAAGGGTCACAACAAATTATCAAAACCTATGAAGTGTGGCTGACGTTTGCCAAGAGAATAAGCATCCACACAGACTGAACTCAAATCCCTCCCATGGTACTGAAGAGCAAAAATCTCTTTCAACTGAAGAAAGACAAGGGTGGTCATTCTTCAGGTATATATACTTTATAGCTCTAGCATTACCCAGAAAATAAAAAACACATTTTTTTTAGTGGTAACAGTCAAACTTGCAGTCAAGCAAAGTATGGAAGATAAAAGCAAGAAAAATAATCTCTGAGAACAGAGAATCAGTTGCACGTGTCTAGTCCATTTTTTTTTCCATTCTCACAGAAGTTTAAACCACAGATTTTCCATGAAATCAAATCAGTACAGTGAAACATTATAATGGAGGCAGCAAAATACAAATGAAGAAGTGTAAGCAGATGAACCTCTATTTTTAATTCAGCTCAGCTGCCAGGTCTAGTAAACTTGAGAATTCCTCTAGCCAGTCACAGTTTAGTTTAACATTTGTAATATTTACTAACAACATACCAAGCGTTTTAATTTTGCTCTGAGTTTACCTATTCCATAAAACCTGCACAAAAACATTAAGGTAGGAAAGAGGGAATTTCAAAGCCTTGCAGTACCTTGGTAAGATTTGATGGTCTCTCTACCATTTGCCAGTTTGAAATATCTCACTCTTAGTAAAGAGCAATTCTGACCATGTTACAAGTTAGTGATTAAGTCTATCAAAAACTACATGTAGTATTTCAACTTGAACTCAAAATGTAATAACTACATTTTAAAAAGATTATTCATTATTCATTCTACTAACAGGAGCTTTTGCAGGTAAACACGTAAGGCAGATTATATAATAAAAATTAATTGATTATTCAAAAGAGAAATGCTAATAAATGTCATCTTTCTTATGTATACTAATGATCCAGGAACAGAAAATTGATGGGTTTTTCCTGTTGTTTGTTTGTTTGTTAATATCACAGTTCACTTATTCCCAGGCAGATATCTTACGTAAGAATATTTCAAATCAGTAGTTTTCATAAACAATGCTTATAGTATACAATAAAAATTTCTCTGTTTTGTCTTTCTGGTAGAGATATTGTGGAAATTCCTTTAAAAATATGGGGGTTTTGTTTTGTCTTATTTTAATCTCAACTTATTATGTTTGCAACATCAAAATTCAAAATATACAAAACCCACTAGGAACACATATGGATGTGTTCAGATGACTAAAACTTGTAAAACCAGGAGTAAAAAAATCAAATCAGTTTCAAAACTGTCAAATACTTTCACACTGATTCATGATGTGAACACAAGCTTCTGATTATTCACCAGATTTTGTGAATATACTCTCCATCAAAAAAATCATTAATTTAAATGAAAATTTCTCTTTTTTGAAAAAATGAATGCTTTTTAAAAAAACCTAAAACTGATGTATGACATTCCAAAAACACTACAGTACAAAAAACAAATTTATATTACTGTTTAGTGTATTTTTGTTACAGAAAACTACCATCAGAGCTACAGAAAAGCAGTGAGAATATAATTTTTAACACTGATCTATCCAAGACTTGATTTCCTGAAGTAACTGGAAGGAAAATAATTTGCATCAGCTAAGAACCATGTCCTGTAGTATTTTATGCAAGTCTATATTACCTTATGAGGTCAATAGGTTGAAACTTGTAAAATACTCCATATCTTGCCCATTCTCGATACAGCAACTAAATTAAAAAAGAGCAACAGAAAATTAACTTAAAACAGGCACTCTCATCTGTTTTTACAAGCATCTTCTAAGAATTAAAAATACATATATCAAAAAAAGCAGTTTCCTATACTTCAATACAAACTTGCAAGTACATTTTTGAGACAGTTATGGAAGACTCCAGACAAGCCAGCAATGGGAGGATGGTGTAACCACACCTTTCTCCACATACTTACCCCCTCCCTACCACGTCTTTTAGATAGTCATGTTCAGTAGAAGGGCTTAATAGGAGAAATAAAAGGTGCTCTAGCCTTGTGGAAATCTTTGGATTTTTGCTACTTACAGAGCTAAATAAATCTATGGTGTCTAGGATTACACTGTAGATAAGTCCAGGTCCAAATTGATGTAATTCAGGTAAGAATACCTAGAGGCAGTAAATGTGTCAAAACCTGTCTGCTCTCTTGCTCAGCCTTCAAGGCTACTATACCTAGTGGAGCACATATAAAAACCCCTTCCCTCCTCATGCTGCACATGGACACATAAGTCTACACAATTATACTGCAAATGAAAATTCACCCACAGCTCACAGACAGCTCAAAAGCAGGCACAGATCCTACTGAAAATTTTTACAATGAGAGGAATCCATCAGGGACAGAGCCTGGGATAAAAGGCGATATTTCTGGACCTGTAGTATATTAACGACCATACGCTCAACTGCAATAGGCAAGTGACTCAGGATAGTTCTCCTCATTCCCTCTTTTGTTGCTGTGATCTGTGTGACACAATTCTGTAGAACTTTCAAAAAGAAAAGAAGAAACCTGGGATACTTCTCTACAAGAGGCTGTAAAGGAAACTGGTAATTATGACACATAAGCCATAACACTGTTCTGAAACAAAAGCCAGCTGCTGGACAGAAACTACCATGCAATTAACAGTTTGGCAGAAGAGTTAATTTGATAGCAGTACATTTTATAACTGTGTATGAGTTTATTATGAATCCAGAAAGGATGTTAAAAATTTAAGCTTTCCAGAACTATGTGAAGACCAAAGAAAGCTCAGAGGAGGTGTCAGAGGGATCTATTTCTATATGACTGTTCACCACATTTTATCTTCAGAGAAAAATAAAAATCAGAGCAGTCTCATGCAAAAACGTAAAATTTCCTGTGGAACTACCTCAGTCGTTCATGATCCTTTCACATTTTTATTGATGCTATGAAAGGACTGTAGACAGTCTAAGAAAACATGCTCATTGAAAACTATTTCTTGAAGTACAGAGTGTATAAAAATAATAAAAAATAAGAATATCCTGATAAATAAAACCAAATTAACCACACCACTATTTAGAGAATATAAATCTGCATCACCCAGAAAAATCAGGTGTCTCTTTTGTGCCTCTTTTCAGAAAAAAAGAGGAGGGAGACCAGAAAAAGGATAGCATATGAGAGGTGAGGTCAGCTCCTTTAAAATAAGGCACCATGTCATTCCTAGTAAAATTGGAGAAGTGATGAAATTGTATATTGAGAATGAGCTTCTGTGTGGGATACCTGGTGGCTCCAAGAGATCACCTCATACTTCAGTTTCTCCCTCGTTGTGAGCACTAACTGTCCCTCACCTATCTCATGGAAGTTGTAGTTAATACGAAGCAATGTAATTGCTGAGTAAATACCTTGGAGATTTCTACTCTCCTGTAAACTTTGGCTGGTATTGGGCAAAAAGTTTAAAAGCCGCTGGGGAGGAAGACACAAACCAAGAAACACATGCACACGCATACACAATCAGGTACATTCAGAGGATATTCTGGAGACAACTTAAATGCTTGTCTACTTTTTTCACTTTAATGGAAAAAGTAACTCCAAAGATAGTCAAAATCAGTAATTTAAAAAAAGTAATATATTCAGATTTTTTCAAAATGTGTAATATGTGGAACTTATCTTAGTTGGAGACCAGATCACAAACTCTTTAGTTCTGTCTGCAAAATATATGCTCATTAATCATGACACTTTTTTTTTTTTTCCCCGGTAAATAGTAGATTATTGCACAATGGAGTGAAAGAGCTGAAGAGGATGTTAGTAACCAAGCACACATATTTTTTGCAGTTATCAGTGGCTGTATCTCTCAGATGGTCCATTTTGACAGCTACCAGCATGCTACACCATCTTGTGAAGTTAACGGTTCAAATAAGTGCAGAGAAATTCAGATACTATAAGTGCAGAGTAACATGCAGAGTTATTTTGACATATTTTGAAGTTTTCCAATCACATTTTTGTACTCTTTATGATGTCTCTACTCCTGCAGATACTATGCAAATGAACTCAATAAATGCCAAGTGAGTGAGTAACACCTGGATGCTGCAAACATGCCCGATGAAGTATTGAAGTGTTATAGTTCAGAGTATGGAAACTGGCTTGCAACCATTTAAGCGAACAGGGCTATGCCACTGTATGCTCATTAAAGATACAGAATAAAGTATTTTCTCTTCATGGATCAGAGAATAACTCCTACACTGCTGAAGCAATTGACAATTCGGCAATGAGGTTCAAGGAGTGTGAAGTCTTGGCTTCTTGAATACTGCTCTTACAGAGCATAGTCTTGCAACACGCTTCGTACTTGTGGAATGAAATTATGAGACTAGATTTGATTTTCCTTGGCTTCAACAGGAGCTGCAGAGGATTGCCCTGGCTGCCATATTAATATTTTCATGTGAATACCTGTAGCTAGCTATTCAAAATCACCGCTTGTCATTACCCCACAGCATTACCTATAATTTTATTTCCATAAATAGTCATACTAATAAATACATTCTCTGATATATACAAAACAAGAAAGTCAAAGCTATTATATTCTTAAAACTACTTAAAAGCTGTTTTGAATGAAGCTACAGAATGGAATTTGAAGAGCAACAATAAAGATTTCCTAAAACTGCAGTCATTTCAGGAGCAGGTTGCTATAGTATTACATCAGACTACAGAATCACAGTGGTTATTCTGATTCCAAAAGCCATAGCACCAAAGGTGGGTTTATGGCATGAATGTTTTCTATCCACACGTGTTGCACACACTAAACCTCAACATCAGCTTTAATTTTACAAGATTAAGCTTAATCTGGAAGCTGGAATGAGCTTCCTTTCATGATATTCATTAAACCGAAAGGAATTCTAGAAAGAGTTTTGTAATGTAGTTTATTGTATTTTATCACATTCATTTAAAAGCAGCACTTTCTGTAAGTTTATAATAACACTTTCCAATCTGCTTCTAATATTCTAGGGATGTTGTTGTAGTATATGACAACAGTGTTTTTCCCAGATAGGTAACAAAGCCCTCCTGTATTTCTCAATGTCAAATATATTGCTAGCAATGAAGGGTTTCAGGTTGCCACTGGGCTAAAATCTTAAAGACCACCAAGTCTTTATAATCGTGGAGAGTTACTACCATGCTGTTGTGCAATATATTTCTTTAAAAGACTTTTTCTAGGGTAGATTTCATGCTAAAACACAGAAATTTCTTTACTCCACAGTCTTAGGAAAAGAGTGTGTTTTACTGACTGAAGATTTCTAGTTCTCACAGGATGTGACAAAAGTATTGTCTCACTGTGCATTTTCTCCAAGGAAATCCTGAAGAGGGTTAATAAGCATTAACTTTTTACATTGTGCACTGGTACATAAACCTGAATTACTTATGCTGCCTTATTGGCATAAGTACCCCAGATGGGCTTAGCTCATCATTTTTCGGAGCTTTACAACAGACAATTGAAATGGAAGATACAGATAAGTTAAAATGGACAAAATAAAGAGGGGCAGAGAAAAAAAAATCAAAAATGCCCCCCTTTCCTTTAAACCTGATCGTGGCTTTTCAGGAAATTAAACACTGGGACTATTAGATTCAGATAGAAAACAGATGATGTTATGCATAGAAATACTAGAGCAGATTCAATGGCTAGGCAGGAGAGACATATGTGAATAATCAATGAAGTATTTCTGGAAAGAAGCTTTTATGTTTTTAATACTTAACACTTCATAACTGAGACTAATAGGCAGAATAAAAAGAAAGTAGCACAAACTACAACTACTAGGGTAAATATTTTTCCAGACACTAGTCCTTTTAGGACTTCTTCCACCCTATTCCACAGTACCCAATCTTCCTCCATTGACTAATGTTCATTTACTTCTCTTCTCTAAAACTTTTGCTAACCTTGTAAGTTAGCAAACTACATAGCTGACTTTCAGAGTCTATTATTGTATCACTATTATTACTTACTCCGAAAATTCTGAAAGGGCAGAATAGACAGTTTCTTCATGAACAAAAAAAGTTCAAAATAATGGAAATAAATATACAAGCTTCTTTATCGTTTGTTTTCCAGCTTTTTGTCTCTTTTGCTTACTGAGTTTCGTATACTAAATTAAATTGTATACGGCACATGAAGACATCTAGTGGTTGAATGTTAACATTACCCATCAAACACTACAAAGATTATATTTTCAAATTTTCATTAACTCAGCATTGCAAAATTCAAATTTATTTGTATGACTTATGAAGTCAGTCTTAATTTCAAATACTCAAATAATCATTTGTGGTAATTACACTCTTGAGAACTACATTGTGTTTTGCCAAATCAATGGAATTTTTTTATCTCGCTTTCAAGCCAGAGATTGCACATACCAACATATAATACCACAGAGTTAAAGTATTTATGAAATAATTTACAAGTCACCAAGAATATACGCAATTTAATTTCTAGTATAGTAAATATTCTAGGCATCCAGACATTCTCCTCTTTTTCATTCTTTCCTCTCCCCCTTTCTCTCTTCACAATTTTTCCTCTTCACTTTCTATGCCACTGTTCCAATTCCATAGCAAAGAAAAAAAGTAAGCAAATGTTGAATGGATCTCAATGAATTACAGTAATTAAATAGTTTTGTTCATTTTTAATAGTAAGCATATGTATTAAAAACAGTCTGAATTCACAGAGTCTTTGATTATGTATCCCTTTCTCTTATGCAGAGAGTTAGGAGATTACATATATTCTCAAAAGTCTTTTGATAGCTAGAAACCTTTTATTTACAAAATAATTGGAAGCAGGTTTTATAGAAACTGCATGTAATATAATTGAATGCACAATGAAATGAAAAATAAAACTGTGTTTTATTCTAGTAATCACTGCTCCATCTGGTTATGGAAAGAAAATAATCATATGCATTATTTAACAACTTTTACTTCCTCATAGGTTGAAAAATCTTGTCTACACATGTGGCAGGAAACTTGAAGCATTTCAAGATGTAAATATCAAATTCACAGATATACTTCATAGGAAGACTTTTTATAAAGTCTCACAAAAATTTTTTGCATGTGTAAATACAGGAAAATAAGCAATGTGAAATATATATGCATTTGTAAATGTATTTGCTTGATTGACTGCTGGCTAATGCTTTCAAATAGCGTCTAGAACATTAACTCACATTTATCACATTAAATCTTATATGAAATTACTTTTTCAGTGTATTTTACCTTTCTGTCATTCATGTCATCATTTTGGCCTTCATATTCACCCTAGAGAATGAAAATAATTTAATAACTGACGTAAAATCAGATAAAATTCAACACAATATTACTCAGCTGTTCCTACAGTGTTGATTTTACTTTTAGGTCACAATTTGAAATATTTGTATGTAAGAGTTTTAGTAAAGAATCACGCTTATATTTGCATTGTCACAGGCAATAAACACTAATGACTGCGTGAGAGAACTATATTTTTAATAGAATATACGTACATCATGAAGTGGGTATGCTGCATCATAAACATTGTTTGCTATAAGTGTGTTAATGCCTAAAAAAAAAAATAGATAGTGAATAGCTAGGCACAGTTAAACAGAAAATATTATTACAGATTTAATTTCATGACATTGCAAAAGGGACTGAATTGTATTACTGAATATATTCAACATCATGTCATATCAGTATATACTAGCTTAGAAGTACTTTGCTATGGAAAGTACATTTTCACAGAAAGGCTCATTTCCATACAGTGCTTTTTCTTGAGTGAACTAGTGTGGTACAAAAGCTGTTTTGACCACTTTCTCATCCTGATAACAAAAAGGCGTGTGACTGAGGAGAAAAGCATCTGAGAATTCCTTCCTGAAGTGCGGCAGTGATCAAAACCACGGATCCCCAATGACAAAATCAAACAATAAAAAGCCCCTACACTTTCACTGAAGGAAGCTGTTGGAAGAAACCCTTACTCTCTGTGGACTAATATTAGATCAGGTCTCATTTTCACTAAGTTAGATACTGGGTTTTCTGCCCTTACTTATACTGATGCATAACGTCATTCTTCTGAGTTTGAAGCAACACTTCTTTGCTTGCAGGAGTTAAATCAGTTTGTGTTCACCAAATCCACAATTATGTTGGAAAGCTGCATGCATCAGGACAAAAATTGCTGAATCCTAAAGGCTGCAAGCAGGAAGACTAGTGGAAGGTGCAGAGGCATTTCAATGTCACAGTGACCAAGTACTACAAGAGCTTTAGCTACTGAATCGCCAGATAATGACCACAGCACCTACTAACATGCACAAGACTGCTACTGGTTCTCAAGCCCTGTAATTCTTAGACGCATCCTGTCTTCAGTCTCTGCAAGTGAAAACAATTGTTCTAGAAGGTGACAATTAAAGCTAATGTTAGTAATTTATTCCGGACATCTTTGTTTTCAATGTCCACTGAAAAGTAACCAGCTAGCTTGTCTTTAGGGATTAAAAAAAAAATCCATAGTCAAATTACACAACTATTATTCTGAAATGTTTGGGAAAAACCCTCTGGTCAGAGATGCTAGATAGGTATTTCCAATACATTTTTTCCTTGGTACAAAGACAAATACCCTTACCACTATGTGCATTAATAGAATCAGGAAATCTTCATTTGAATAATATCAAGATTTCTGATGAAAACATTCTATGTTTGGAAAGTTTACAATTGTTAAGAGCTATTCTAGAAGAAAATATGCCTTCCTTCTATAATTTCGTAGAAGTGGAATCAGATTCAGCTTTAGAGTTGAAACAATCAATAAGCAAATATGTTTGATGTGTTGTTATTTTCCTCCTATTATACTTCCAATATAACTATCCTACCTCTGGCACAAAATAAACTGTGGAATTAAAAATTAAAAAACAAACAAAAAACCACAAGAAAATAAGACGTTTGAAGATATCTTTTAAACCACTCATGATGAATGTTTTTGTGTTTAAGACCAGACTGACATACAAAGCATTAGATTGACATACAAAGCATTACATTTTTAGGGTAGGGTCTTAGGACGTCAAAACAATTAGTGAATTTAGGTCAAATGTGATGCATAATCACGGGTTTGCTATGGGCCAGAAAGACTGGAAGGACAGGAGTGTTAAAATATTTGCTTCATGTCAAATGGGATCTTGAGCTGACCTCAGCTTGAGGTAATAAACCTGTATTTTGATTCTAGAGTAAAAAAAATGTCCTGAAAGATGACTACTACTGCTTTCATGTCTAATGATAGTTTTTATTACACTATAAACCAGAACAAGCTATTACAATACAGAAAACTTTAAGTAAGATGCAAAAATACTCGCATTCATAAAGTTTTTTGCGCCCTTATAGGACAGACTGTTTCTTTCAAGCTTTCCCTCAGTCCAACAACTTACTACATCTGAGGAGTTCCAACAGGTTCTACATGGCACCTATGGATCACCTGGGAGAGTGACAGCTCCGTAGGCTGGCTTTTATGTCTTATGTCTTTATGACATAAGTCTTAAGTCTTATGACATATGACATATGTCTTAAGTCTTTATGACTTAGTGCCCCCACTGTACATTTTAAATACCTTGCGCTGCCTTGTCTCTAAAATCCTGCACTCTAGAGGCATCTGCTTCCACAGATGTCGTGGTTTAAGTCCACCCAGTCAGCAATTTAAACACTGCACAGGTGCTCATTCACTCCTACATCCCTTTCCCCCCATCCCATTCACCTAGGATAATTGTGATCTGCACATAAGTGGAAAAGCTTGCAGAAGAACTTCCAGAAAATGTGCCAGACAAGGAGCACTATCATTTCTTTACCGTAAGGGAGATAAATGTCATGATATCACAATGGGTGAAAGAAAAGAGTAGAGAAAAGAGAATAAGCACAGCTGTATATATTTTGAACCTCAAGAAAACAAAAGCTTCAGATATTTCAGGGTTACCTCAAAAATGTCACACAATGTCTTCAAAACAGTTATACTTCAGTCATACATTTGATTATGCAGCTCACAGACATAATCTTTAAAACTGCATTGACAAAAATAACCAGGAAAGATATATTATCCTATTGTAATAGCAAGAAAAATCTGTTCCTGGAAGAAATAACACAACATATTGTAGCTGACATCTGAATTTTCCAAAGCAGATCATATATTATTCAAACCCGATTTTATATCAACTGATGAAATGCAAGCTATGAGTCAGATTGTGCACCCATAGAAATGAAAAGCAAGCTCCCATTACCATGTCCTATCCAAACCAGAAGTCTGATTTTATTCCTCAGAAGAAGCATTTGTTTCAATCTCTATTTTTTGTGAATATGTGTCAGTGTACTTTTCTGTTCTGTTAGAAAAATAAATATTCTGTGAAATACCTAAACAAATCCCTTCAAAGCAACATATATAATTATGTTCCCTCCTTCTTACCCATGCTGTTTCTGGCCTTTGTAGATGTGCGTTTCAAAATTTCACGTACCTGTGGAAAACAACAGTGATATAACACATAAATCATCTTTTGGCATTATTTCATCATGGAGCTAGCAATAAAACCAAAGAGGCCTCTCTAGAGTTCATTTGCAGATATATTTAAATCATATGTTTCACTCATATATAAATGCATGACTTGAGGCCACTATTAAACACAATGCTATGGCAAGTCTTGCTAGTGGATTATCTGCCCTAACATTTGTAGGCTAAATCCTGCTGTGTCACACCCTTAATAAAACTATATGAAATATAAGGACTTCAGCTAGAATGAGAAATTTACACTAAAGAAAATCAAAGCAAAATCTGACTTTATAGAAAAACATGTAGCTTTCATATTTTGAAGTATAACACCAAGATGCACATGAAGTGAGTACATGTGCTGTATCTTTAAAACTCAGTTGCATATGGGTGTATGTAGCATGTCAGGGAGGAGTTGGCATCATATATATAAAGAGAAATCTTGCCTCTCCAAAATGTTGGAGACCTAGAAAGATCTCAGGAACATGATACAAGGTTTCTCATCAAAGCCTGCTGGAGCTAGGAAGTTACCACAAGATTGTAGAGGAGGTCGTTTTATGGATAAAATCCAGGCGAAGATTAGGAAATGGGGCTTAGTAAAAACATTGAACAATGAAGAGGAATCAGTAGCAGTGTTTCATAGAATCATAGAATGGTTTGGATTGGAAGGGACCTTAAAGATCATCTAGTTCCAACCACCCCTGACATGGGCAGGGACACCTTCCACAAGACCAGGTTGCTCAAAGCCCCATCCAGACTGGCCTTGAACACTGCCAGTGAGGGGGCATCCACAACTTCTCTGGGCAACCTGTTCCAGTGTCTCACCACCCTCACAGTAAAGAATTTCTTCCTAATATCTAAATCTGTCCTCTTTCATTCTGAAACCATTACCCCTTGTCCTATCACTATGCTCCCTGATAGGGAGTCCCTTCCCCATCTTTTCCGTAGAGCCCCTTCAGGTACTGGAAGACAGCTATAAGGTCTCCCCAGAGCCTTCTCTTCTCCAGGCTGAACAGACACAGCTCTCTCAGTCTTTCCCTCTAGGGTAGGTGCTCCAGTCCTCCGATCATCTTTGTTGTCCTGCCCTGCACTCACTCCAACAGATCCAAATTGGGGACCCCAGAGCGGGATGAAGCACTGCAGGTGGGCTTTCATCAGAACAGAACAGAGCAGAGGGGCAGAATCACCTCCCTCAACCTGCTGGCTATGCTTCTTTTGATGCAGCCCAGGATACAAGAGGCTTTCTGGGCTCTGAGCACACATTGCTGGCTCATATTCAGTTTTTCATCCACCAACATGCCTAAAGTTCTTCTCTAGAGGGCTGCACTAAATCCATTCATCACCCAGACTGTATTTGGCTTCCTACTTAGCATCTCCTACTCCTGGACCACTGGGCAGCTCCAGAAGGGTATTTGTTACATATTTATTGACTGCTTAGTGTTTTGCAGGAGCAGAGAAATGCAAGAAAATGATAAAATTACCAAAGTAGTCACCAACAAACAGTATTAAAGCAAATCTCATTTAGCACAAGAAGTCAATGATATGTTACTTTTGTTTACTTACTATACGGCTGCGAGTACCATTGTCAAAAAAAGTGTCTTTGTCTTTGATGTTATACCTAAAATGTTGGTGAAAAAAAATCAGTTATGTTTTTAGATGTAGTACTAATAAGTAAGATAATATAAAATATTGTGATTTAGAATTCATTTAGAAACCACAGTAAGTAAGAAAAACAGACATTTAAAGGAAATATAGATGAAAGAGTAGCAGCATAATAGACTGTGGTATTTAAGACCATGTCATTCAGAGTTCTGCCTGGATTGCAATTATAGTGGGCATAAATATGCAAAAATATCAACTAACGTAAGGAGAGTTCATCTACTGTTTACACACGGTGACCTTTTAATCTATTCCTTATAACATACGCAACACATATTAACATCCTGAGGTTGTGTTATTAGGTTTCAACCAGTATAATACAGACATTCGTTACTCTTTTTCAGGCAACTACCCAGTCAACATTTCACTTGCTTTCAAATAACTACTCCACTGGAATTATGCATTTCCTTAAACCTTAAAGCTATCATATGTGAAATTAGTTTCCCAGTTTATTGTCCTCAACAAATTCGACTTGTATTTGTTATTAATTAAAATTGTCAGAGAGCACGATAAAAGATTTGGTGGGTCATTTTATTCATTACTGAATATTATTTACCAAATATAAATACAAAGAGACACCCATAACGAAAAAAAAAGGAGTGTTTAGTGTCAAACCAGGCCCAGAAGTATTATTCTGAGTGAAAGGACAGGTGTTAAAAATTCCTTATCTGTATACTATTAGCTAAGTTTTAATTACCATAATATCAGGAGAAAAAATTCTATTGGATTTCTAGTAGATCTTTCTTTTTTCAAAATGGGCAGTAATATTCTTAACCAAATAATCAGGAATTTGATGGCAGAACTTTTACAGTCTGAGCTCAAAACTGAGATATTTTTTTTGTTGCACTGCTTCCAGTGCCTTACCCAGCAGAAGGAAGTAGAATACTGGCAGAAAGTCTCTGCAACTTAGCCTTCTGTTAATCCACTGAAACTGAACTCAATGCTAAAACATGTTCACTTACTTTATATTTACCTGACTTTCAATAAATTTGCTTTTAAAACTTGGAAATATTATCCATGAATAATCTGACAACTTGGATATTTCCTCAGGATTTCCAGAAATACTCCATGAACTTCTGAATTTTGATTGAAATACTGGTAGTAAAAAAATTACAACAATAAAACAATAAATTATAGCCTTCTTCATTACTTATCACAATTTAAAATACTCACAAATATATCTTCTCTCTGGAAAATGGATAAGAGAGGCTTTTCATGTTGGTATTTTCTTGTTGTGGCACCTGGGGTTGCAGGGGTTCAGTCAATTTACACCATATTTCATTTAGTTTTTTGAGTATTCCCCCTTCTTCTGTGATTTCATACATCTGAGTAAATAAAACAATGTATGTTAGCATGTCACATCTAAAAATTCACTAACGCTAAAAAAAATGAGATAGAATTTACTCTACACATGTTTAAATCTGTAATTAAAATAAGCTCCTTCTCTGAAGATATATTCCTGTATAAGAGCAAGTACCTGTATCTAGAAGGGTTTCAGTTACAAAAAGTTCTTGTCCTTCACAAGCTACTTCCAGAAAAAAATGCAGAATCCGGCATTTGTTCTTGTTGAATTTCATGCCGCCGATTAATGCTCAATAGTCCAATCTCTCTAGAACCTTCTGCGAGCCTTCTTATCCCATGAGAGACTCAACAGTATCTCCCAGTTTGGTATCATCAACAATCTTGCTAATGTGAATTCAACTTTCAAATTCAAATCATCGGTAAATATATTGAACAGAACTGGCCCTAGAACTGAGCTCTGAGGAACGCTGCTGGTGACCGGTCACCAGCCATATGTAGTCTCCTTCACTACAACTCTGTGAGCCCTGATGTTCAATCAGTTCTTTAACCAGTGCACTGTGTACCTGCTCATCTTACAGTCGGACAACTTGTCCAGAACACTTTACTAAAATCCGGAAAAATATACATCTATTGTCTACCCATCATCCACTAGGCAAGAAAGTTTATTTTATCAGGATACAATATTAGTTGGACAAAACTTTTCCTTAATGAAACCATATTGACTGTGCCTAATGGTTTAAATGCCTTTCAAGAGTACCCAGTATGAAGGACATAATTATTCCAGGTACTGAGCTTAGATTAACAGGTCTGTAGTTTCCTGGGTCTTCCCTCTCACCCTTGTAAATTTTAATAACTCTGGCCAGTTTCCAGTCAGTGAGGTCCTCCACTGATTCCCAAGGCCTTTGGCAGATGATTGAAAGAGGTTTTGCTGTAACATCTGCTAACTCCTTCAGAACTCTGGGAACAATTCCACCAGGGCCTGTGGATTTATGAATATTCTGCTGATACAGATAGTCCCTTAAAATTTCAGCGTCCACAAATAAAAGTTCCTGTTCCCACAGCTCTGGGCTGCTGACTCAGAAGACCAGGCAGTCCAAGGTCTACTATTAATATTAAAGACTGAGACAAAAAAAAGCACTGAAGACCTCCACTTTTTCTTCATCTCTTTTTGTCAGGTGAGTATCTTCAAAAAGTATTGATCCAATATTTTCCTTAAACCTGCTCTTGCTATGAACATACTTTAAAAAGCCTTTTTGCTGTCTGACATAACACTGGCTAGTTTCAAAAACTGTTGCTGAGATGTGGCCTTTCATGTTTTCTCCCTGAATATCACAGAATAACAGAATTACAGAATGTCAGGGGTTGGAAGGGACCTCAAAAGATCATCTCTTCCAGCCCCCCTGCCAGAGCAGAATCACCTACAGTAGATAGCACAGGAACCACAACTCCATAATCATCCTGTGAACCCTGACCTTACTTCCAGAGACAGTACAATTTCTCTTTCTTCCTGAGCTCCATGAGGAGTCCCCTGTTAAGCCAAGGTGGTCTTCTGCCCTGATGGAATTGCCTGCTTCTGAGTTTTTAAAAGATGGTTCTTAAAAACTGACCAGCACTCATGGACTCCTAAGCCCTCAAAAGCAGATTCCCAGAAGACAATGCCAACTAGCTCTCTGAGTAGTTTGAAGTTTGCTCTCCTGAAATCTAGAATAATGACTCTGCTGACCTTTTTTCTCATTACACTTAAAATATTAAAATATTGAACACAACTATTTTGTTATCACTGTGGCCGAGACAGGCCCCTACCATCACATCTCCCACTAGTTCTTCTCCATTCACAAATAGCAAGTCTAGGAGCTCTCACTGCTTGCCGCAGCAGTATAGCATTCCCAGTTAATGCCTGAAAAGTTAAAGTCTGTAAGAACACGAGCTACTAATGCAGAAGTTTCTCCTGTTTGCCTACAGAATAATTTGTTGGCCCTATCATCCTGGCTGGGAAATCAATAGTAGACACCCACAACACTTTTTCCATCCCCGTAACCCTCACCCAGAGGCTCTCAACCATATTATCCCCACCTGAAAAGGCCATGCTGTCAAATTTCTCCTGTACATACTGTACAATCCCTTCACACCATCTGCACTGCCTGTCCCTCCTGAATATCCAAAGCACTCTATCCCAGCACGCTCAGTCTCGTTAATATTAGAGACATCGAAGCTTTGGAAACAGACAATGCTTCCAGTTGGTCCTCTTTGCTCCTCATGCTGTTTGTTTTTCATACATGTATGTGCATATGACTCATTCTCACCAATCAAAAATAACTGTATTTTCATATTCAGAAGTATATATACAGTTAAAATTGCTCAGAAAGTATATTTTCCCAGCATGTCATTTGTTCTGAAAGATGATTTACAGCTGACCATTTGAAAAAAAAAATTGCAACCAAATCATGATGTTTAGAAGCAGATAAATACTTTCCACTGAAGATGCTTTGTGTATGGTTTCACTGCATGTTTGAATAAATAAAAATAACATCGCAGAAAATACCTTATGTGCCTTGAACACAATCTTTTTTTTCTCTGAACAGAACTATAATTTTCTTTTTTGGTGGTTGCTGGCTACATTTTTCAATCTTACATTGCCAAATCTCAAAAATACAAGAACTTGGGATTTTTTAAAGTGGATTTGTGTTTTCTTCACAGAAAATTCCTCTTACAGCTGTCTTTCGTTGCTAAAAACGTAAGACATGAACATAGTTTTCCTGTCATGCTTGCCTTGTGGTAGTGCACTGGTGATGCTCCATTTCTGCAGTTGAAATAATGTAGTCAACAAGAATTGTTAGCAATCTTCCCCTTAAAAATGTCATATTGCTTTTACATTATACAAAACAATTTATAACACCACAGTGAATTTTCAGGAAAATTGAGATCTGTTTCGCTTGTTGGTAGATATATTTCATTTTGTCTTCTTCTACACGCCAAAATAAATTAGAAGTACAAGCCTAAATACTGTTTTCATAACTGCTTAATCAATGACTGCATGTTCATTTAGTTTTTGAATATTTTTCATACTATTCAATAAATGTCAGTTATATGCCAATCTGATTCAACATGAGATATGCACAGACCTGACTGGTTCATTGAAATCTGTTGCTTTAAAGGAAACAACAATATAATTAATGTATAATAAATAGTGGTTAAACAAAGTAATTTGTCAATATTTTCAAGTGTCTTTACTCAAGAAGATTCTGTGTCTTTAGGGCCTTATGATACACTGTGTATTTTTTTCTCCCATTCAGAGGAGAGAAGAGGATGCAGAACTGTTCATGAATAAGGCAGCCATTGGAAACTATTAGCTCCTAGGCAGACCTTAACTCAGAACAATACAATGGCACTATTCTTCAATTAAAGTAGTGTCAAAATTGTTTCAGTATATCTGCAAAAAGCTAGGAGGAGAAAATTCCTATGAGAGAAGGAGGTAGAAAGGAGCAGTCACTAAAGATGCGCCAAAGGAACAAACCTGGGAAGGGATCAGAGAGAGAAGTTGAACACAGAGGTCCATTTCTAGAAAACAACGCCTACACGTCCTTCAATACGTCAGAAAGGACAGAGGTACTGTAGCTGCCCAAAATCTATTCATTTTCAAAGAGTGATTACAAGTAACCAGATTTTTTTTTCCAGGGATGCAAACACAATACAGTAAGAATATGCAAGATTGGCATTGCCAGGCATCTGACAGTGACAGATTTTAGCAACATGAGAAGTGAACAGCACTGAAGCTTTTGATGGATGAAAATAATTAATATGAAAAAAAACCACAACATCCAACCCTCATCCAGACCCAAACAAAAAAGAAACAACCCTGTGGAAGAAAATAAAATCAGTCTGTCCTTCAGTTCTAATGACAATGTAATTAAATCAGTGTCCAGTAGTGCAACTCTTACTTATCACTAACTAAAAGCACAAGGCAGTTCCACTGACCTCAGTGGAGTTGCTAGCCAACACACTAAATCATTGGAGGACCACAAATTTTGGAATCTGCTGCTCATAACTTACAATGTTTGCCAGTATTTCTGCTGAAAGCAGACTGTTAAGACTATAAAGAAGACAGTGAGCCAAATTTTAAATGACAATATGCAAGTCTGAATTAACTAAGTCGTTGATACCACCAAATCAATCTCTTCAGCATCGCCAAACTTCAGAAAAATCTTAAAGTAATAGTCAGCTGTCCTACTATGTCCCTTCCTGCACCTCACCTTTGAGATAAGTTCCTCACCAAAAATCCAAATAGCTACTGACCCCTCAGCTTTCAAATTCTTCCTTAAAACTCACCTCTGTCATCACTCTTCTGTACACAGACTGTCAGCTAGCTGCCTTCATAGCCTTTGAAAACCCTTTTGAAAATTTCATCTTAAATATGACTCTGAATACTAAATCATCTCCAAATTGATAGTAATGTGAAAGAATAAGGGTGAAAGTTCATTTGCTCTGATTTTGAAATAAATTAACTCCATGGGCTTCTACACATCTAACTATCATTCTGATCCCTCTTCCTTCAGTTGTAAAACTACTTGATAGAAGATAGAAGATACTTACCTTTTTAGTGGGCATTTTTATCTTAAGGAGTTCTGCTTCTCGACTAAGTACTTGCCAGGGTGCATGTATACGGACAAAACTCAATCCTTGGCTCTTATTCTGAAATATAAAATAGTGAAAACAGTGTATTTCAATAATATTGAACAGAATACAGTAATAAGGTTTCAAGATGTCAACTCCAACTAAATCATGCAAAAGTAAGCAATCACAGTAAATAACTAATTTTTGTAGGAGCCGAGTTTAAAGGTGATCTTTTCTTTAAAAGATGAATATTCTAACACTCTAATTAAATTCATCACTCTGCTTCCTACAGTGTAGTTGTACGTTCACCTCTATTGGGTTTGTGTCTGGTGGGGTATTGGTAGCAGTAGGGCTACAGGGAAGGCTCATGTGAGAAGACTCTAGAAGCAACCTATGAGTCGGATCTGTTTCTGTCCAAGGCTGAGCCAATCAGTGCCTCTGCAACAAGCATATTTAAGAGGCAATAAAATTGTTGGGCAATTTCTTTTGTTCCTGGAGAAGAGAGGGATGTGAGACGGAACCTATGGGGACACCAAGGCCAGTGAGGAAGGAGGGGAGGATGTGCAACAGAGCAGAGATTCCGATGCAGCCCATGGTGTTATGGCAGGCTGGCACACTGCAGCTCATGGGGGTAATGGTTGAGCAGATATCCACTGGCATCCCATGGAGGAGCTCACGCTGGATCAGGTGGATGCACCTGAGAAGGGCTGTGACTCTGAGGGAAGCCTGTGCTGGAGCAGTCCATCCCTGGGAGAGCTCTACCTTGTGGAAGGGACCCACACTGGAGCAGTTCATGAGGTGCTGCATGAGTCTCAGGTTGGAGAAACTCCTGGAGGACCAGGACAGCAACATGGAGACAGAAGGCTATAGTTCCAGATTTTGGAATCATGTGAACCAGAAACCCGCAAAATGCACCTTCCACATACAGATATTTTGTAAGTCGTCTGACTTCATTAGTGAGGTTTTGTGCCCATCTGAACCAACAAAGAAAAACATTTCTTCTGCTCTGGGTGGGCTTTGCTTTAGGTTCCCATTTACAGTTTTGCCCAACTATTTCCTCAATGATTCAGCAGATTAGTAGTCCCTTAGAGGGAGTCAGGCCCAACATTTACCGCCCTAAATACCTGCAGTTGGTGTAGCAACCCTAAACAAAACACTCAAATTTAACTTCTGAAGAGAGACCTGAGCCTAATATTTATGTAAATAACTGGTTATGTTGTGCAGAGGCAGAAGACTACACAAGAGGATCTCTGCACAGCCAGTTTGCTGCACTCTGTGCTGTTAAGAAGGAGCTGTCCTGGTAGCAAAATTGAGCTATGCAAAGGCAGTCTAAGACCAAAAAGCAGCACCCCTTGCAAAAGTATGAAAATGAAATGTAGACACATCACTATGGAATTTTGCTCAATGCACACAAAAAAATTATATTAGTAAATTATACAGAAGAACATTTACTGAGTGTTCATCTGTAAAAGTTGGGAGGGAGCTTAGAAAGAAGATATGAGACCATATTTTGGGAAGGACATGGAAGTAGAAGGGTAGATTTTAAAGGCTCAATTAATGGTAGGATTAATGATCTTTGTGCAGCTGTGTGCACACTAGGGCTTTGGTGTTAGGGTATACTGTCACTTTGCATTTTCCTACTCATATGTCTTTAAAGATCAGGACAGTCTCCTTCCTTCAGAGGAGCATGAACCTCTTTTTGCACCCCCTCATATATCTTGAAATTTAGCAGTGAGAAAAGAAAACTGAAGCAAGGTGTCCTACTTGATGAGACCTGTAACTGAGTTGGGCTTAAATGCAAAACTGAGGTGCCCCACCTCTGAGTAGCTACCTGTTATACGTACAAACAGTTGTATATGTATGGAGAAAGAATGTTAACAGACAAAGCTTAATGTCGCTATAATCAACAAGGAACATAGCTCTACAAAGCTGGGAACACAGGACATGTCCATGGAAGCTTAGCATCTTTGGTTGGAAATTGACTCCAAGGACATTCTCTTTCTCAAAAGCTTTGAGTTAAGAAAAGTTTTAAACAGAAATATGAGTCACAGTCTGAATGTATGTCTAAATCTAAAAGATTATTGTAGCACATTTACCTCAGAAAAACCTCTCCTCTCAGTCACAGTGATACTTCATACAATTTATATCAATTTTCAGATAAAACTGTGTCATATCACATCACAATTGCATCAGCATTTCAGAACCAGTATTTAATCTTTTCAAATTGTATAAATGCTACAACCTCATGTAAACAACAAACGTGCATCTGCTGCATGTTTCATAATGCTTCCTGATTTAAAAAAAGAAAAAAAAAAAGAGTTAGATGGAAATCCTACTTCTCTTACTGTAATCATTTTGCTCTTATTTCCTGTAGACCCGCAACATGAGCTACAAAGATCACTACATCACTTTCAGCTATCATTTCTTCAGTGGACCAGTGTTATTTTAAAGAGTAAGCTGCAGAATGTCTCTTTCATCAGTCCACTGGGGAAGCCAGCTTTAAGAGAGGGAAGTAAAAAATTACTGGGCATGAGCAGATGTTCTGGTAATCATTTGCAGGAAATTAATAACAGATGAGAGTTTAAATTTCAGTGTGTTAAGATCAGGAGGCTTCTTCTCAGCTTTTGGATAAGTCAAGCGTGTGTCCTCTGTCTGGGGGACTATACTCCATGTTGGCAAGAGCGGGGACAGTCTCGTCTAATTGGTTGTTTCCAGATCAGGCTCATGTGACTACACAGATTGCAAATAAAATCAGTCAGATGACTTGAGAGAAAAGACCAGATGAAGAATATGATCTTTATATATTTGAATAAAATATGTTGGAAAGTTGTGCCGTTCACAAAACGACATTACATGCCAAGGAATCAGAGCCTTAAAAAACTTTTAGGCTTTTAAAGCCTTAAAAATCACCCCAGAAGATCATTTTAGAAAGACTAGTGTGAAGTAAATAAAGAAGGGAAAACAGGACCAGGTGATTCCTGTTGCACCACAAACAAAAAGTACAAAAGAATAGAATGTTGACTATTTAGCTTGGGATTACTAGCTACCATGCTTCCCACACCCTCCCATATTTTCCTAACATTAAAATTAATCAAAGAATTTTAAAATAAATTTGAAATCATCAATCTCATGTCATATCTCAAACCACCCACCTAGTTTTATTGAGCCATCAAAATAAAAACCTGTGCTAGGTACTTCTCTGGTAAGGCTCCTTTTCGCACTTTTCAAGCCTTCACCTGCAGTGGTTCCAGCTGTCTCTTTGCATGCCCTTTGGTCATTATCATAATGATAACTGGCAAAGATCTGTTCAACCAATTGATTCCCAGAGTGCTTATTGAATTGCAAACCTTACCAAAAGTTAGAACTTGTTTTTCTCATTGCCAGAGTGGATTTATAACTATCTCTTGGAGACACGCATTAAACGATGTCACCTGAAATGACAGACGTACAGGTGTTTGTGAACACAGTTTAGTATTTGCTCTATTGAAGTGCTGTCCGCCTTCTATTCTGAATACTCAAAATTGTCACTTCTTATTCATTGCACTCTAGCATTAAAGCTAACATGTTGTGCTGGCTAACGTTATTTCTGTCTGACCATTCACTTGTTATTTAATATAGTCATCCTTAATCAAGTCCTTTTTCACTTACAGCTGACGTCCCACAGGACTGTATTCTTGGCCCTGCATTGTTCTATGTCTATATCATTGCACTCCCTGATTATATTACTCAAATGACTAAGTATCGCTATGCAGATGACAAACAGATTTCTTACTCTCATGACTCTTTTTTTTTGGTCAAATCTATATTCCATATTACAGAGTTCTTCCAATATGTTTCAAGACTGGAAGTTTTTCAGTAAGTTGGTTCTGAATTATTCAAGATATATTTATATCTTGGCTTCTTTTCTACTTTGTAAAGTTGTATTGGGCCTTCCCACTTCAATAGGAAATCTCAGCACTAAAGTTAAATGAAGAAAAATCTGGAAGGTCTGGTTTGCTTTTCAATCAGCACATGAAGAAAAATATATCAGATATTTCTTTCAGTCCATCATGTATTCCTAGTAGTTTAAAGCAGGACTTTTAACAGCAGCCTATACTGTTATAGTAGAAATGCATAGGCTGAATAAAATTCGAATTTCTCCAAGGAGAGTTTTTCTATCTTTCATGCCTTAACAGTAAAAAACACATGTAAGTCTAAGATTTATTACTAACTTATCATCATCAAAAAGAAAAAAAATGTATGGTAGCTACAAAACCTCTTATATAGATGTATATAAAGAATGTAGCTCTATTGATTATAATTTGACTAGTGAAAACTCACAAAAGTAATTATCCTTTTTAACCAAAAGATGAATGTCCTGAAACATGGCTAGACATGCGTAATAGCTAGACTAAGTAGAAAAGCTCTCCCTGCCTGAAAATCTAGATTTGTCATTGAACTTCGATTTCTATAAATGTCAGATATCAAGTGAGAATTCTGTCATTCTAAAGTTAGTGGCACATCTGTATTATTCACTCACTTTGACAGTTACAGTTGTCCAGCTGTAACAGAGGATATTTTTGAATCATTATAGCACAATTACCATGCTCTGCTTAATCTTTTCCAGTTCGTAGTTTCTCAGTTCCAGCCTAGACACAGACTGAGGCCACAGATTGAGGAGCTGCACTGTGAGGCATCCTCTGTTACAATAGGAGTTTGTAGAGAAGTCTTATTGCTCCATAAGACCACAGCATGTAAAATGTGGAGTATCATAAAATCATAGAATTCCAATTCAGGTTGGAAAAGACCCTTGGGATCATCAAGTCCAACCATTAACCCTACACTACAAGGTCACCCCTAAACCATATCACCCAATACCACATCTAAACGACACTTGAACACATCCAGGGATGGCGACTCAACCACCTCCCTAGGCAGTCTATTCCAGTGTCTGACCACCCTTTCCATGAAGAATTTCTTCCTAATGTCCAGCCTAAACTTGCCCTGTTGCAATTTGAAACCATTCCCCCCGGTTCTGTCCCTAACTACCTGTGAGAAGAGACCAGCACCAACCTCTCTACAATGTCCTTTCAAGTAAT